AAATTGTTCAAAGTGCAATGCGTGCGTCCAGGAAGACTTCCTCCTTTTATCATTCCATACCAAATTTTACAGGGCTCAAAATAGTCCCACTATGGAATGTTACAGCCACGTATGAGGAGAGGGGGCACCACTTCATTTTTGACAGTTAGATCGTGTTCAAAGTCAAGCCATTCGTGTTGTCGTCTCCATGCATATTTAACATATCGCCGATGAGCAAGAAAATTTACCTATTTGGTGTATAAACCCTAAGATCCATGTAAAGCGTAGGTGGCGTCCCAGCGTAGGCTCGAATCCCACCACAGCTACTAAACATTTTACAATTTAACTTAGGAATGTTAACATGTTAGGTACAACATACAAGACGTCCACGCATTCAGTTCACAGCAGTGTGTCTCGATGGACGATGATGAACAGTCTGAGAAAAGTTCAAGCGCTGAAGGTAGTTCATGGACCATTCCATTGAAGTAGCAGTTTGCATCGACTGCGAATCCGCTTTAAGCGGGACCCCGTTCATCACCGATCATTGTCACAGCGATTTCAAATTAAGGATAAAACCATACTTTAGTGGTTTGAATCAACACAATGAACCAAATGTGCGGAAAGTACAGCGAATTCGGCCAAAAATGCTACACCGTCATGGAAATCATACAAAAATTTATATTACATACACACCGGACAATTATTCCGACAGGAAATTGCTGAGTCTTTTGTTTGCTAACATCCAAAGAAACTGACCAAATATATGAAACCTAAAAGGGGATTAACATTATTATTGTTATTGACAAACATACAGTATACATGGTTGCCGCAATTTAAAACTGATACATCGTGAGACAATATGTCAGTAAGGATGCCAACCAAATCTGTCACAACAGAATTTTTTTAACTATCTGCCTCCAAATTAGTTAGGATACCGACTAGGAAAGTTTTGGAACACTGGTATACCAAACAAGGGACATATGCTCATCATACGTTCTACTGGACTTTATATGTGATTCATCTGTTGACTTTTAACCTGGGATAGAAACTGAAAACAATATGCGGTAGGGCAAACGATATCCAGAGCGGGATTCACAAGTGCTAAAAGCTGGCTCCAATGACATTACTGGCCTGAACATTGTTCTAAATTACGCCAGATTGTATCACGGGATACACTTCGACTCGGTAGTTGGATATCAGAAATAACCCAGGGAACACTAAAACAATTTTATGTTCTCAGATTCGTGTTCAACCAAAGGGACAGGAACTCAAGTCACCGAAAGAAAATGCCAAATAAATGGTTGAAAAAATTGAAATTTCACACCAGTCACAGACACGGAGTTGGTACGATGATATAATGCCAACCTATAAACTATTTTCTATAGTAAGAAAAACCACGATAACGGCAGCAAGTTGACTTATCGAATGCAGATACATGCATATTCGTAGAACCCCGTTTCACTCATCCAGCACCATGTGCTCTAATCTATCGTTTTGTTTTTTGCTTGTCACAGCATCGAACCGAAGTGTGGAGTGAATGCATCCTCCCAATCCAAAAAATAAAATACTCAAGATGACGTGCAGTAAACAAACAAAAAATGTTATTCCCCCAAGGTGACTGTTTTGTTTTCCCCGCTTCTGCAACCATATTTTTTTGTTAACCCATGGTTATTTTGGCGCCTTATCTGTAGAGATTGGTGTTAAATATATATATTTCACAATAAGTAGTATGTGAGTGACTGGACAAAATATTCCTGGAAGCACACACTATATATATATATATATGTATATATATAGCACAAAAAACATTGCAAAAGATGACAAAGCGATAGTTATTAGTACGAAGGATAAACGGACATGAACAACGAAGCGATGTCACTGAGTTTTCCTAACTTCAACCAGAAAACGGTTCATGGAACCTAACGAGGAGGCCCAGCAATGCACGGCACAGTTTCACGGTCTGCAGAGCCGGAGAACAGCAACATTTATTTATCATCTGAAAACCAGTGATATTACCGAGTACTCTGACGGCGAATTCTATTTGGGTGGTATGAACCGTACAGTCAAAAGTGAATCAACAAACGCAGAGTGCTTCCTTCAACGTTGAAATAAACCTAAACAGGGGATGGGTGTAGGAGTATTACTTACAATGGAGAATGACAGACGTTAAAATTATGCACAAAATCAGGAACAAAACAATTCACTTACCTGAAGAACGACTGCGGCGTCCGAAAAGCCAAAAGCGGCTAACAAACTGTCACAGGCTTTTCGTGTATCACATATTAACTGTTCGATGGTAGCCAATTTTTGGTTGAACATGTCCATTTCGTTCATTGTGGTTTGGTTATCCGTATTAGCCGTCTGTGGCGCTGGGTCGCTGAGTAAACGACCTAGTTCTAACAAAGTCTCGGCCTGTAAATGAAAACATGGACTTCTGTTATAGTAACTGGGCCCCTTAAATTACAAAAGTGACCATGAGAAAAGAAGCATGACGCTCGTTTAAATTCAATCCTAATTGTTCAATCAATAAAGAAAAGCGATTATGGGAAAAAAGTATCACAGCGATAAAAGTAGAATGCGAAAACTAGAAGCACGCAACAACTGAATAAATAAAAGAATGTTCACGACAGTTCTTACCTGCTGATTCGGATGATCACGAGGTCATAAGCCGCGGAGGTAAACCCACCTATGTGATTAAAACCGTGGTTTGGATACGAAAGACCTTCCTTACATTACCACCCGCTTCGACAAAAAGAACACGTCATAGGGTTTTGTTTATGAAGTCGTAATATCTGGAGTAATGAGCCACTGCGATGACCTATTATCATTCACCATGTGACACAATGCACAGAAAGCTGTGCTCAAAAACCAACAACCTGCGCTTCTCGCTAACAACGGCTCGCCGAAAAGAGAATCCGCCTTATCAAATCACGGATAAGCTGCAGCTGAAGTTGGTATGAAAGCCTGGAGAAGCAACGAGATTTGAGATAACACGCGATTAATGTAAATAAACGAATAAGGTTGATTAGTTGTTTAGGACCAACCGAAAGATATTTAGTTTTAATCGTCAACCTTATCATCCTATGGCAAGAAATGGTGAGAAGAAATTCACAATGCCAAATAGAAGAACAGTGAGTATATAGGTTTACTGTACATAGACATATCTTCAAGCAGTCAGCAGGGTTAGGTGACTACAACATACACCATCGGTGGTAATTAACTGTCGATAACAGTATGATCATTGCGTTTCAAAAACCCGTGTTCGCGAAAAACGTTTTGGGTGCCAAAAGGAATGAAATAAAACAGAAGAAACACAAAAGGAGATGGGTTTGATTAGACACGAAAAAAGAATGTAGTTCATTACTTACTTCTGTCAGCTGAGGTCGTTCGAACACGGGCACGTGGGACTCACTGGCGGTGAGAAATGATTCCATACGGTGAGCAAGCAGGTCACGAAGCTGTAGCACACCATCGGAAAGAACTGGAGACGTCGTTCCATCCGTGGCAAATGAATCTTGTTCGAAGTCAGATAAGACACTTAAGTTGTCGGAGTTTTCATCCGTCACGTGTGAGTCAGATAGCATCATTTGGGGCTCAGGAATGGACCACTGGATCAGATGTCTGACTTTGAGATCGCGCAACTGGTCCAAAACTACATTCAATTCTGCATAAGATACGGGTCTGAACACAGATAGAGAGAGATGAATAACATGGCTTCATCGCAGAGAAACAATAACATGAGATGTGGGCAAGGGAAATTTGAGAATTAGAGGAAAAACAAGCCGCAGTTTTGATTAAACGTGTCATACGAAAACTCGATCACAACCGACGGAACCGGGAAAGATTCATGAATATGAATGCGCTTGAAGCATGAGACTAGAAGTCACCTTTAATCAACACGTCCANCAGTGTGGCATTTATTATGTTTAATCTATGATTGGCATCACAACTGCTGATTACCACTAGTGCCCTAACTCAGTTAGGACATTCTTTACCATTGTCTATTCTTAACTTCACTCTATCTTCTTGAACGGTCATCAAGAAACGTCCGTTTTTTTGTTCTGGAGACATTGCAATGATGAACCCTGTAAGATTGCTGGTTAAATTACTTTGAATGCACGTTCCCTTTCGATCTCAGACTTATTGTTGTTTATAGTGTAAGCTAATGTTTTAGTTTTATCACGACAGAATCATCTTAGACAAATTTTCCGGAAACTTCGACCACCGTTTGATGGCGTCAGTGACCCTGGGGTGTCCACTAGAGCAAAAGACTACCATAGTACCGTGGCTAAGAATAAAGTACTAACAGGCCGACAACAAAAAAAAATTACACGAATTCGAACAACAGTACTGGCGTAGCACAACCAAAAAGGTCTTTTTACCTTTTACGGGAGCGTGAGGAGTAAAAACACCTTCTTGGTTGGTTAAATGTAAGCAAGTAACGAATGGAATAAGACTGTATTCATACCCGAACCTGACGATCATACACATTGAACATCATACGGTACATAGTGATCGTTTTATCTTGAAAGGCGGATTAAGGAATTGGTACTCAACTAAACGCACTAAGAAAGAGTTAAGTGAAACATGCGGTGCAAATTCAATATTGAATATTTAACTTAAAACTAGAACAAAACAAGTCCTCGGGCGAGAAAAAAGAATTATATTTCAAGTGAACACAGTGAGTGACTGCAACACACATGGATGACATAAATCGAAGCAGAAAAAGATTTGAGATGGGAAGGCGGTTTGTCACACTGTGACGACCAGAGCAAAAGCAAAACATCCAGCAAAAAAGCAGCAAAGACTACATCACTGGTGGTCGCGCAATTTATTTGGAAACTATCCACCCTTTGCCATACCAATTTCGTAGTATCCATCATAATTATCCGCACCACTGGCTGTTAGCAATGTGCAAAACAGATGGAGCACCCATTAGCAAATTACCACGTCGACCAGACAGCTGAACAGAACACATTCATGCACAAGGTAATTGGTCACCTGCGCCCATTGCTCCGACTCCCTTTGAGAGGTTTTGCTACCCTTGACAAAAGCATAAATCCTAAAGGAGCTCCGACTTTTCAACCGTTAGAAGACGTAAGGATCAGGCTGTATCCCCTTAGCACTATTCACAGATGGCAGATTGTTTTTCGTGAGGGAACTGAACACACAGTTCGCAAAATTTTGAATAGAAGTTTTCACTCCTTGGCGTGAATCAGTGAAGGTTGCCATCTTTGAAAACTGCGGCTACACTGTGCTCTAACCATCGCTGGATTAATCCGATCTCAGTCACATCAAGACTTCCGGTGTCTATCATACTCCACAGGGTTTCTACTTTGGTTGAGTCTTATTGTGGCGAAGAGAACGCTAGGTTCCATGCCGGTCGTGGTTGCGCAAATTAAAGTCCAAATCTTCGCCCGTTACTTAAACACTGCCAAGTCTACAGAAGACCAATCGCATTCCTGCAGGTCAGGACTACTTTTGATTCTGTCGACAAGGCCATCCTATGGAACTGCTATCCGAAGCCCTGTGCCTCAGAAGTACGGTTTTATCCAAAGAGCTATGCATCAGCAGATTTCAGACAGAGTAACGATGCACGGAAAACTTTCCTCGTCAATCACC